CCTCCTAAAGGGTACAGGTAAAATAAAAAGAGGATTGGACCCAAAACTGTACCTTGGGGTACCCCACAAGACAGCGGTGCAACATCAGAGTAAACCTGATTCATAAAAACAGTAAAAGACCGTTCAGATAAATAAGTAAATATCTTTTTAAAAAGAATCACCTGTCTGAAAACATACATTGTAAACAAGTTGTGGTATAATCTAAGATCTCTAAATTRGATTATTTTAAGTTTAACCCCATGTCTGAGTGTTTCTCATGCACCCAAAGAGCTAAAAACAGTTACTGAGCATATATCCAGAGTGAGTGAGTGAATGCTGATTTGCAAAAGAATGCTGTGAGCAATGACTTAATAATAATGATTTATTTCTAATTATCAAAAACTGACCGCTTTGCATTCATGTGCTCATAAGGGTGCAAGATGCTCGTCTTGCTGTGCTGAAGGACCTGCTGATGCAAAGGAGTGAAGCTCATGACAAAATCACTAATAAGAGACTGAACCTCATTTACTCCAAGTTCCAGAAAGACACAGAGACCAAACTTCAGAAACGTAATGCTGATTACCTCAGAGGTAAAACATCCTCGCTGTGCTGGTCTTCTCACTGTCCCTCCTTTTCATTCTATATGTCCAAACCGTTCTGGACTGTCCTCATTGTCCTAATGAGTCTAATCCATTTTTCAAGAATCCCCAACACAAACACATGTATAACGTTCAGCTCTTTTATTTCCCTCTTCTAGCTGTGAGAAAACTAAAAGCAAGGCGAGAAAACGTGGAGGGGAAGCTGAAGCGACGGGACATTGTCACTGACCTTTGTTCCCTTCAGACCCACAAGAATGTGCTCTCCAGCAGTGACAAGAAGTTTGGAGCCCAGTGCTTCGACACGTATGAAGGTCTGAATGAAACTGCAGCTTCTGAACCCATYACAATTTACAGAATGATTCCAAAAGAACGCTATAAGAACCCAGATTCAGATTATTACTAAACTCTTGTTTGTTTTAGGTAGAGTCCTTTGGAAAGGTTATGAACAAATATTATCTTACCTGTTGTAGATTGCACTACTCTTTCATTTAAAGATACAYATTTTAAATTTGGCTAGGTTGATGAGCTAATGATYAGTCTGACTGAGACTAAAGTGAATTTCTGCCATCTTAAAACAACCTAATTCTTAAAAATACCACAGAGGCTCATGCAAATGTTATTTTAGAAGCATTTTAATTATTAACTAAAATAAAATGTCATTATATGCTTATTTAGATAAAATAACATAATTATTTGAAAGCAAAAATACCAGCTTTAGCTAGCTATAACATGGGTCAGTTCCAGCAGGAAATMCAAGATATTACTTTTCAAATAATTGTGTAATAAAAAATGCTGACAATTTAAAATTTCAAAAACACTTTTTTGCATGAACCCCTTTGACATTTTTTTTTTTTAAATTGGAGCTTTCAAGACAGCAGCAGTCTTTAGTCAAGGTCATTCAAAAAGCTTTGCACAGCAGGTAAGATAATTATTGTTCATAACCTTTTTGTAAAAAAAAAAAAAAAAAACCTAAACTATCCTTTTAAGATGACTTTTTAAACTTTGTCWCCGACAGGCTTGGTTGAGCTGGAGGCATCGCTCAAGCCATGGTGGACAATCCCCGAGCCAGACCCCTTCAAGGCTGTGAGCAAGTCTCCTGCGAAGAAAGCTGTGGAGGAACTGAATAAATACAGGGTAAACAGAAAATAGACGGATGTGTTTATAAAGCATGTTCGTTTTACATGCAGAGACGTTTTAAATGTGTGGTGCAACAGGCTCTGTTGGAGGAGGAGAAGCAGCTCATGGCAAAAAAGTCCCTGCGTACTCTTGTCAAAAAGGAGAAGCGTCCTCCACCTCCTGACATCCCCAGAGTAGAACCACCCTCAGAGGTCAGTTAATCCCCCCCGCTGATTGTTAATCTGTTATTTCTGCATAAGTGCAACTTGTTTACCAACTTATATTTGGATTTAGGAGGACGAGCGCACCGAGCTTGCAGTAATTACTTTACAAAAACTGCTCAGAGGAAGAAGTATCCAGTATGAGGTCTGTGTGTTTTTGGCAGAGTTTTAATGTAACTAAGTACAAATACTTTGTTACTGTACTTAAGTAGGAGTTTCGGTTATCTGTACTTTACTTGAGTAATTATTTTTCAGCCTACTTTTTACTTCTACTCCTTACATTTATACACAATTATATGTACTTTTTAATCCTTACATTAAAAAAAGAAGTAGAAAGTCATTTCTCCTATTTCATTTCGATTTGTTAAAAATATAATAAATAATTGTTTAAAAATATACTATCCTGAAAAATTGTGTCTCCTGGATAGAGTGAATTTAATTGTGGTTGGATAAAAAGTATAAATATATACCATTCTGATGCTGTTTTCAGTTTGTACATAATCCACCAAAGCTGCACACCTTTAGAAAACATATTTTTTGGAGATGTCACCTCCCAATAAATGTATTTTGGAAAATCTAACCATTCACTTTTACTAAATACTTTTACTTTTATTACTTAAGTATATTTAATGTCAGAAATTTACTTTTGAAATTTAAGTACAAAATAAATCAGATACTTTAAGACTTTTTTACTCAAGTAAAAGTCATGTTGGGAGACTTTAACTTTTACCAAAGTAATTTTATGATTAGAGACTTGCACTTTTTCTCAAGTATTACTTTCAGGTACTTTATACAACACATGTTTTTGGATGATGCTTTGTTTTTTAAGTGCTTCAATACCTGTCTTTACTTTGATTCATGTTATTATGCAGATGTTTAAGGGCAAAGAAAAACAAATGATGCTCATTCAGGAGCTAAGAAGCACACACGCTCTCAGCTCTGAGGAGGAGGAGCTACAGAAAGCTGACAAAGAGTTTGTAACGGCCTTAAAAAGACATAGGGAGCAGCACAGACAGCAGGTGAAGAAAAACAGAAAGGTGAAAGGTTTCCTGAACTCGCATGATCTTATTAACCTTTGTCTGCCTCTCTTCAGATCTCCCAGGAGGAAGCAGCTCAAGCCCAAGTGGTGGGCGCCGAGCTTGAACAGCTGTTCGACACCTTGTCCAAGGAGCTGATCCGTCTCCAGGAGGAGCGCAGGATCCACGCTTTTACTCTGCTGGCTGAGAGAGAGCGACGGCGGCGAGAGGCCGAGGAAGGCGGGAGGAGACAAATAGAGGAGCGCAGACGTAAAGAGAACGACGAGATCTTCAGACAAGTGCGAACCCTCTTTGATATGAACGAAAACATTTTATAGTGAGTGTTAAACTTGTTTTTCCTGTGTGTGATTGTTCTCTCCATCATGACACAGGTAGTGCAGGTGAACCAGGAAAGTGTGGACATGTTTTTGGAGGACATCATCTTGGAGAGCATAGGGCAGGTAGCTGATGAGCAGGCCAGAGAGAAGATCCGCATACGGGCAAAGGAGCTCAATGATGTTGCTTATATCATGGAGGAAAGGTAAATGACACCTGAGTGTGTCCGCTTAAACAACTTATACAAAAATTCAGACCTCAAAAAGACATAAAGACCTACATAATTTGTGTGTGTGTGTGTGTGTGTGTGTGTGTGTGTGTGTGTGTGTGTGTGTGTGTGTGTGTGTGTGTGTGT